CAAGAGTACAACAAAAGGTATGTTGATCAAAAGAGACGTAAACCGTATGAGTATGACGAAGGCGATTTAGTGGTTCTGAGAAATTTTGAAAGCACCCCTGGAGTTTCCAAGAAGTTGATTCCACAATTTAAAGGGCCTTATGCCATCCAGAAGAAGTTGAGAAATGACAGATATGTAGTTGCAGATCCGGAGGGACTTCAGAATTCCCAGAGACCCTACGAGGGTGTATGGGAAGCGAAGAATATGAGGCCATGGAAAAACATGAATCTTGAGGATGAAGTTGATGACGAAGATGTGGAGAATAGTGGATAATGTAATCTTTAGATTTAATTTTCATGTGTATGATTTTATAGAGTTAAGCTTTTATGATCACTTATTATTTCTATGTGCTCCGAGGACGGATCAGTGTCAGGATTGGTCGAGTTGTGAGAGTTCATTTTTAAATTTCATGTATTCGTATGAGTCTGTGTGAGATGTATGCACGGTGGGACTAATGAGTCATCAGTGTGACGTCGTAGAGCTACGCGCCTTACGCATAATGAGAGTGGGAGATATAGGGCAGTCGGTCGGAGTCGGTGTCAGAGGTCGGAAGTGACAGAGATGACGTTTTGAGAGTAAGAAACGCCTTAGAGCAAAGTCTTTTTCATATTATCAAACATGTTACCCAAGTATATTTTATTAAATATATTCTATTGTTTTATTTGAAGAAAAGAGTATGCCATCTTTTGACAAAAACCCTTACAGTATCCAATCAAAATCGAATGATTCTATTCTAAACTAATGATTCTAGGGGTTATGAAACGTCGACAAATCATGGAAATTCCAGTTTTGATTTTCGGGTCAATTACACTAACTTTCTCCCTTAAGGGGTAACAGAATGCCGTCAATTTTCCAATTTTTTGAACAAATTTCCTGCTGAAAGTTATCGATATTTATACATATCCAAGCACATAAATCTCCAGGAAGCGATAATGGAGATTAATGTGCTTTGGGTTCAAAAAATATTAATAACTTTCTGAAAATTTGTGTGAGAATTTTCTAGGACTGGCTTTTAGCCAATCATAGCCCAGTATTCGAGGTCACGATACTCTTTTGTTATCAAATTTTTTCGGAAATTACACACTACCTTCTGGAAATTGCATCTGATAATTGCATAGCAGCTTTTCATTTGTTTCTAACCAATTGGATGTTTTGCTGGAAGAAGCCCTCGAATACTGCGCTCCGCTTGGCCAAAATCCAGTCCCGGAAAATTTGCCGAATGCTTGACACTTTTGTTTGTTTGCAACGAAGCGATCAGGAAATATTCCGATAATTTTGAAGGCCTCGAGGTATTATAACTGAAAATTTTCGAGAAAACGGTCGCCTTCTGTTACCCTTTAAGGGGTCCGTCAAGTTAGCAGTGCTAGGTGCTCAAATCTGGTCCAAAATTTTTGCAAAATTAGGCGCTTTGTAGGCGCTTTTTTCGGGCCAATTTTTTTTGTGCTCTTATAGGTTTTCTCAAAATTGCGTTTTTTCAATTCGACCATCAAGTTAGCCCGAAAAGTGGGGAAGAAAGCGATAAAAAAAATCAAACCCAGGGGATAATTAGGCGCTTTTCAGGTGCTCCCGGATGCTGGAGAGAAAACTGCGGAAAATTGTTTTTTTTTTAACAAGAATGGAAGCGTTCCCAAGGAAACCACATGGATGGAAAGGG